ATCTATTCTCTGCGATCTTTTGCATGTATTTTTTTTTCTGTGTCTAGCTTGAAATTTGTTTTCAACAAATCTTCAAGCCAACTCCATTTTCTACGTGGTCGACTCTAGCAGCAGTTCTGTAGCTCATGATTCCTACGGTTCCTCTATGACCCGAAGACCGAGAATCGAGAGCTGCAGAAATGCAGCTAGGTCGACTCCTACTGCAACTTGGAAACAGATTTGCGAACGGGTGAATTTTCATAGATGAGTTACCGTAGCCAGTGTTACGTGTTTTGATAACGAGTCTGTCTAGAAAAGAAAAGAAACAACGATATAATCTAGTAATGTATTATCAAGAAAGAACATTACCTAAAGCATTTTTTGTTGGTTGTTGTAGAATCAAATTCGCCCTTTGAAGAGGTACTCTAAGGCGAGAAACCTGCAGAAACCTCGACAAAAGTCCAGCAGCCGCCATCTTGACACAGATATCAGACTGGATTGTGGGATAGTACATATGACGATTTCAACAGCGCCACCACTTCAAATAAAAACAGAAGTAACTATATGTTCTGACACAGGTGAGGACCGGTCACACAAGCTTTTCAGACCGCGCCGATTTCAGAAAAAAACCCACATATTTAATAAATATGTACGGTTCTCCTTGCAGTTTAACAAAATGATGAAATTTATTTTATTTATAAACGTTACAATGCGAGGGCACAAATGCTGGTGGGTTCCATTATTCCATTTGAAATGAAATAACGATATAATCATAGAGCTAAATGATATAAGTTTGTCCAGAGGTACATTACTTGGGGTTTGCAACGCGCATAGTACTGTATGGTGACATCATGTCAAGATCCCATTAAAGTCTCATCTCGTAGATAGCGAGACTGATGCTACGACCTTCAAACATGAAATAGGCGGTTTGTAATAATCAATAAAACATGTATTACCACATTCATAAAAAAATTAATACATCGAAAATGTACAGAGAATAAAGTTATCGTAATCCGTCATATCGTGAGCAGCTATTTCGGTCCACCTGGACGTTCCAGTATCCTAGTTACCTCGGGCATGCGCATTCGCATTTTTCTGAGTTGGAATGCTTATGCGAGAGCGAGATTGAAACGGGATCTTTGTATCATGTCACCGTAGTTGCAAACCCCAAGTAATGTACCTCTGTTTTTTGCTATTAGTGTAACCTTGATGTTTAAAAAAATATATTCAACAGTTCCACACCGGGGAATTTTTTTTTCTTTATTGGAACATTTAAACATAACACTGAATTGTATATGTGAGTGTTTAATGAGCTTGTTTTGTACGCCATTCAGTATCAGTGATTTGACAATATCCAAATGTATATAATACTGTCATTCAAATAAAAATGCCGCCTTGCTGTCAATATACAACATGTCGTTCACATAGACTTATCACATAAAACAATAATTTATCAGGTTATAAACTCCATATGCAGTATTTACATATTGATTGGTTGTACAGCTAGAATATATATCACGTGACCCGGCACATGACCTTATATTCATTGGTCAAGTAATAACCATTCGTATCAACTTTATTTATACTAAGAAATACGAATATATTTTAAAATTAATATAATATATTTAAACATAATGAATTCACATCAGTCACATTGTTATAGTTAGGCACCTACACACAAATTTGAGACGTCACAAAATACATGACCTTCAATCGTGGTCGTTTCCTCGGTATATATACGAATTAGTATATACAAATCACAATAAAGATACTTGAGGCATTACACATAAAGTGGAACAAATCAAGTGACAATATAATGATAATAACAAGAATAAATCCTGGTTAACAGTTGAACAGAACGACAATATAGTCAGTGGGGTCACGCCAAGGGTCACGTACTTCGTTGCAAAATGGCCGTGTGGTTGAAACTGGGTCATGGCGTGACGGGTGAGGAAGACATCAATAAACACTCACAAAATCACAATGAAATGGAGAAGTGGTCGCATATTACGGCGTAGCAAACATGGAAAATAAAAAAAACGCCTAATACAAACACCAAGGGTTTGAATCCTTCTAGATAATAAACATTCACCCGAACCAAAGCATTTGTTTTGGCTTTCCTATTCAACTAACAATTTACCAACTTGTAATGGTGGAAATTAATCAAATGCGAGTTGTTTACAGCAAAATAAGTCTCAAATATTTGTTGAGACAATTATTCTCTCAATTTAACAACTTGAAAAGGTTGAAATTAATTAAACGACAGGTATTCAAACACAAATACATCACCAAATATTTGCCGAGACATTTATTATTTTAATTCTTAGAATCGTGCCATGATATCATGTCTCTTGGTATCGTGAAATGATATCATGTCTGTTGGATTCGTGCAATGATATCTCGTCTCTTGGTATCTGAAATGATATCATGTCTCTTGGTATCGTGAAATAACATCATGTATGTTGGAATCGTGCAATGATATCATGTGTCTTGGTATCGTGAAATGATATCATGTCTGTTGGAATCGTGCCATGATATCATGTCTCTTGGTATCGTGAAATGATATCATGTCTGTTGGATTCGTGCAATGATATCATGTCTCTTGGTATCTGAAATGATATCATGTCTCTTGGTATCGTGAAATGATATCATGTCTGTTGGAATCGTGCAATGATATCATGTCTCTTGGTATCGTGCAATGATATCATGTCTGTTGGTATCGTGCAATGATATCATGTCTGTTGGTATCGTGCAATTATATCATGTCTCTTGGTATCGTGAAATGATATCATGTCTCTTGGTATCGTGCAATGATATCATGTATTTTGGTATCGTGAAATGATATCATGTCTCTTGGTATCGTGAAATGATTTCATGTCTCTCGATATCGTGAAATGATATCATGTCTCTCAGTAACGTGTAATAATATCAGGTCTGTTTGCATTCAT